GTTTATATCCCGTGTACGCAGAAAGAAGTAGAATTGATGTGAAGTTAGAGCTGCCCACCAGGGAATTTTTTTTTTTTCTGTTTAGGAAAAAAGCTCTCCAGATTTGCAAATGGTATCATAGCTTTTTCTGTGGAAGTAAATTTCCAGCCACAGATGAAGCTCTACAGGCACAGTTACCTAGGGAGAACCCGTGATGGAGATTTCCATCTTGGGAGCCTCCACCTGTAGGGTTGAATTTATCCCTGAAGTAACTCTACTGATATTGCTAACATTACATGAGAGATCAATTTCCCTTACCTCATTTGTTTCATTTTTAAAGCTGAAGGGGCCAGGCCAGCCACTCCAAAAGAGTAAACCACCTTACTTCCATTTCCACCTGTGCAGCTATGGCAATTTAGAGCCAGCTAAGAACCTCTCCCACTGCCTTTAATAGTGGGTTAGATTTTATAGTCAATATAGGATGATTTTCTAGTGAAGGATGTTGACACTAAAATAGTCCCAAACAGTTTAGAGCTGGATTCAGGTCCCCTCAGGTTGGAGTATTGGGGGTTGAAGGTATAGAGAACCCTGCCCAGCTTAAGGATATTAAAAATGATTGAGTACATGAGGCAGGAGGTAGCGATGGCATGTGCACTGCCCACAGTGCTTGAGATATATCCTTTCTGGGTGCATTAATAAGGATCAAAAGTCCCACCTCTCACAGATAGCTGGTAACTGTCCGAGGCTGTGTTAGAGGCTAGATTTCAGGCACGGAGTACATACTACCACCCTTCAGTCCTGGGAGTTACCACTTCTGAGTTAGCCAGAGGCTGTGGTGCCGTAAATCTAGAAGCTGTCACTCCTATGATATGTCCCCTCGACCTTCCATCAAGTGCTGCTGACCTTAGTGCCCACAGAACTGCTTCTGCAAAGCAGTGCAAAGGTCCATGGCTTCCAGGCTCCGTTTTACGTTGGCCACGTAATTTATGAGCAGAATCTTGTAAAAATGGGATTTCAACTGCATTTCCTTCACTGACAGGTTAGCAAACATCTTGTAAATTATGGTGGTGCTGCTAAAATCCCTGCCAGTGATCAAGAGATTTTATCAAGCTTTGATAGCCTCTAAAACCAAGTTCTACAGAAACTTGTTCTAATTTATTACTAAATTGCTATTGGGAAATGTCATTGAATGAACAATACTTAGTACAATGCCAACTACACTGAACAGCTGCAACACCTGCAAATAAATTATGTCTTGTGATAATCTAAAAATACATATTTCGTATTGTATCCTGGGAAGAATGGGAGAAGTAACTTGATTATAAAACCACCACAAATCCTGCGCACCATGTAATCAGTCTCATTTTATGCACTGACTTTCTCCACATCTGTGCAAACAAAGCCATTGTTATAACACAAAGAGCTGAGGCATATAATACATGCAGCTATGAAACCCTGAGTGCTGCTACGTGTTGAGTCTTTAAATGAAAGGTGGCACATGTGCTTTTGGCATAGGAGTGTAAATCAGTCCAAGATGTTTATTAAAGAGTAAGTAACAACCTGTCCACACGTTCTTTCTTCCACCCAGCCTTGGGTTTGTTCTTGCTTTGTTATTCTTCTGGCAGTTAAATGTGAGCCCTGCACGTTAAAAGTATGTATTGTTTCTTCATGTACGGATAACATAACATGTCACATAGTATTTAACAGATATGAGATGGGGAATGGTTTGGACAAAAATACAAGCTAAAATGAGGTGGGGAGGAAAGGGTAAGTACAAACAGCTACACCTCAATGACTGGAGGTTTATTACTCTGGATAAGGCCACTACATTTCATAATACTTTTCAAATTAATAAGACCTAGATTTGATTTCATGTTCTAGCTCTTAGCAATTAGTGATCAAAATTTGCACCAGTGAAGGATGGTGAATATTTTCTTCCTCATCAGTCAAAGGCATGAGCAAGCATTAAAGAATGGAGTAGTCAATATAGCTTGACTTTGTATTTACAGCAGGTATGTATAACTTCCACAATTGGGTCTGCCTGACCTGGACTGGTAGGAGAGCTTAAGTCTTTCAGCTGGCTGACCAGCAGGGAAGATAACACAATATTGACACTGATCAGTACTGGCATCGGAGGTTGGCCCTTTTTGGAGCAATTGCTGATGTATTTGGCAACAGCCTGTAACATGTTCCTCTCCCACTGACTGAGGAGCTATAGGGTCTGCTGTAGAACGGCAGTCCAAGGACAACAAAGCCATTTGTAGACAGCCTCTTTCATGGGCTACCTGCATGAAGCAGCACTTCAGAGACTGGAAGTGGGGAAGAAAGTGGTGAGGGTAGAGCCTGGGACATGCAGTGCTCCATCCTCCTCCATCAGAGAATGCACAGGAAAGTCTCCTAAGATGCCTGGGGAGAGTGACTCCCCCATGGCTAGGCAGGAAGAGCAACCCATTCTGTGTCCCAGTGAAGGGTTGACTTTGTAGCATGCTTTTTGGAACGACAGGTAGAAAAAAGATACCATGGATGCAGTCTTCGTGACTTCCAGGTGGGGAGGTGACAAGAAAGTGATGCTTCTCTTCAAATGCATTTCAGAAACCAGACATGTGCTCTCAAGCACTGAAGGGCTCATCCATTGGAAGGACACTTTCTCTTTTGAATGCTGGCAGTGGAAAACTACAGTGTTTTTCTGGCTCATTTTTAAGAGACAAGCCTGGAAGACAGACTGGTTGATGGGAGGTGGTTCAGAAAGGTTTGTTGTGCAGAACTGGGGACAGTTACGAGAAAGTTTCGACAGAAAGGTCCATGCTGGACAGGGAACAGAGGTTGCTGGAAGTGTGCCACCCCGTGTATTACACTTGCACACTTAATTCACTTAACTGACCTCCAAACATCTGTAATTGTTGATTACTTCTTTATTAAAATGGTAAGGATATATTCAAAGGCCAGATTCCATACGCATAAGTTTCAGTGATAACATCACCAATCAGTGACCCACGTGGATTTGCTCAGCAACACGGGATGTACCAGGACTGAATTTACACAGCAGTTACCACTGCACACTAGAATTATCCAGATTTGTTACAGCATCCTGTTATAATATTTTAGCCAGGGCAAAAATGTTAATGAAACTAAATCAACATACCTGAGTAGATCAGGAAAGTGAAGGGGGAAGAAAAAGGCCAGTAATACTTTCTCCCATTTATTCTACACACTCCTAGGTTTCTGCTTTTTTTTTTCCTTTTATTCCACATGCCTGATAATGGGACTCTGTAGAACTGAACCTTTTGCAAGTCACTGGTGCCAGCTTTTTGCAGAGTGCCTCGGACAGGTCTCTTCATTTCCATTTTGTTTTGTCTTTCTATGGCTGTCACATATTGTTATTTAAATGAATGCTTTTGAACTCAGATTTTTTTTAATGCAAATGTGTGCTGCTTCCCTATTGAACTGAAAACATCAATGCTTCTTTTTCCCTATGAGAAGTATGATAAAGAATAATATTCTCAGGGCTGAAGGTGGGTTGGGATGTTACTTTTCTGTGAATTTACATTAAAAAAAAGAGAGACACACACAATGGTGAAGTATCAAAATATTGGCTAAATTTTCCTTCTACCCAACATATTATTAAAGCAGTACTATATTTTTTCAAGAACAGATGAAGTAGGGAAGGTGCGAAGACACAGCACACTGGTCACACTGCCTCAAGGCAATCTGTATAAGATGGTTACAGGAGTACAAACAGAAGTGAGAGACACTGCATGCCTCCGGCGATTTTAAGTTGCTCTATCCTATCCTTCCTTTTGAGGGCCATGAATCATTTGAGCTTAAAAGTAGGAGCCCTCTCATTTTTAATTTTTTTTGGAAGCTGTTTACCAGGATCCATAGGCTGAACTTACAGACCATCTTTCAGGGAAGTAATGGGGATGGAGGGAAAAAAAAGAAGTAAATCCTTGGTACCCTTTAGAGTATACTGCATTCATGTGTTTAGATTTTTCTTTCACCTAGAAAGCCTAGAAATGTAATTTTTAACAAAAGATGAATGTGGAAGTTCTGCAGTGATCACATGCTTCCTGCAGCTGGATCTTTCTGCTCATCAAATATTAGAAGATAGGCAAAAAAAAAATCCCATGCCCCCAGCACAGGAAGGGTTGGTCACACCTGAATTACATCCGTTCCTGATCTCTGCCAGACCAAGAGGCGTGCGATGCTGAAGCACGTGGACTGTCTCATCCCTTTTCCCATTGGACAAGCACCCATCCCACAGCAAAAAATGTCACGGTCCATGCCCACTAGCAGCCGTGCCAGCAATATCAGCAAACAGACCTCAGAGATTGAGCTCCCCATTTATTGACAGAAGTTCTGTTGTTTTCTTTCAGTGTCAGTAGTTGTTCCAGCCCAGGCTTTCCACATATTATTCCTGGACTACTGAAAACTTGAAGTGCTGCTCTCTGTCCTGCAATATCAAATTTATGGATGAGGAGACAACTTCAGTCTGCCAGGTGATAATTTGGCATCCTTGTGTAAGCGTTAAAATCCCTGCAGCTGTAAATATTTATTGAATAGGAAATAGACTCATATACTCCAGCTAGTACATTATCATGTGAATAAATGTAACCTTAAATAAATCATGTGCACTCCATCATTTAGTCAGTTTATAAAATTCTTGCTTCTTGCTCAGAGCATTCTTAGCTCAATACTCAGCAGTCGAGTGATTCATGGTGTGCCTTGATTTCTTCTCTAACACAATGTTTTGCTTCTTACTTTTCACCTCTTAGAGCTTTCGCAAAGCTTTGATTTGACAGGACAAGAACAGCGAGGGCATTAGGACCAAGAGAAAGACGCACACATTGCTCTGTATTATGTCTGGCAAAGTGCTTCCTGACTGAGTGCCGTAGTTATGTGTGAAACAAAGTCAGGGACTGACTAGTTCTCATCTGTTGATCACAGTTAACTTGAAGCCTCTGAACGGTGAGAGCTGTCAGATCTGCTTTCAGAGATAAAGCATTTCAATCCAGGCGGCAACTGGAAACTTTGAAGAAGCAGGATCTACTCAGGAAGGAAACTATAAGAAACATATTTTCTTTTTGCTTAGAATTTAAGAAGGAAAGAAAAAAATCGAAACTTTAGTCACTCTTTTCATCAGCTAAACATGTGCTTTTCTCACTGAGCCGGGACGCTGTATAACAGAGGATCTACTTTATCTCACTGGATCCATGCTACGTTTTACTACAGTAAGTGCAATATTAATAGGAATGTTATATTTTGTCTGTAAATAGAGAGGAAAGCATGAAACGGCATCAGTGAAATGTGAGGCGAGCAAAAAAATCCTCTTGGCAGATAGTGAAAAACCAAGGCTTCCCTGCAACCCGAGGACCGGAGTCTGAGGAAGATTCAAGTGGTATTTAACATGACCATCTGTATCGTTTTGTCACCAACAGCATGTTCGTGAGGAAGAAGTGCAGATATGGATCACGTAAGCTGCAGTTTCTCTTGTTGTTCCTGACGCTGGGCTTTCTGTTACTGATGGTTACGACGCTGAATCCACCACCCAGCAACCAGAGCAAGGAAGGGACCTTCCAGCCCGTGGAGTTCAACCTCCGGGAAGGGAATCGCATGGACTTTGCGGAGACCCAGGAGCTGCTGGACACCCAGGAGGAGAGCCAGCAGTACTACCCTCTGGAGGGGCTCTCGCCCTTCATCTCCCTGCGGGAGGACGAGTTGATCGCGGCCGTCGTCGTGTCGCCCACCGGCAAAAGGAACCACAGCAAGGCCAGGAAGGGATACCGCGTGGTGGGGCAGCCGGGCAGGCGGCCCGAGGGGAGGGCAGGGGGGGACCCCGAGTCCCAGCTCCTG